CGCATGTACCTGGGCAAAGGGGAGGTCCGACGTATGTCGCCATCGTATTGGCCCCACCCACGGAACACGTGCCGAGCCGCGCCGATAGGACGATCGAGGACCTCTGACTCGTACTCACGCCGTGGTCTCCTGCTATACGTTGAGCATGCTCTTGTGTAGTGCCAACAGAGTTGCCAGCGACCGACACGTCCACTTACGTCGCCGTATATTTTGCAGAATGTGTCCGCCCTGCTTCATTACGGGGAGCCCATCGAAGGATGGCGAAGAATGTTCAAGCGAAGGTTGTTCTAGCTGTTTTAAATGATACCACTACAAATTGATACGCTCTTCCGTGGCAGTAGAAGCAATCCTTTGACACCACCTGGGACGCTCGAGGTGGACGCAGCACTACTCTCTCGGAGCGGATGGATCCAGTCCGCGTCACATAACTGAGACGCTCGAGGTGGACGCAGCACTACTCTCGGCGCGGGCGAGTGCCGTCCGCGCGTCACATAACTGAGACGCTCGTGATGGACACAGCACTACTCTCGGCGCGGGCGGGTGCAGTCCGCGTCACATAACTGAGACGCTCGAGGTGGACGCGGCACTACTCTCGGCGCGGACGTGTCCAGTCCTCGTCACAGAACTGACACTCTCAAGGTGGACGCAGCACTACTCTCGACGCGGGCGGGTGCAGTCCTTGTCACATGACTGCGACGCTCGAGGTGGACGCAGCATTACTCTCGGCGCGGACGGGTGCAGTCCTCGTCACAGGACTGAGACGCTCGAGGTGGACGCGGCACTACTCTCGGTGCGGACGGGTCCAGTCCGCGTCACATAACTGAGACGCTCGGGATGGACACAGCACTACTCTCTCGGCGCGGACAGGTGCAGTCCGCGTCACACGATGTTCACGTGAGCCGAGTGGTTGCTGTCATTGCCGGTTGTTTCCCACGTTTTTCTCTTACATCGTTTTCCTCTACACTGCCGACATTGAACGCGACGGCAGTGATTTTAACCATTCTACTTCAAACATAGTCTCACACCATCTCATCATTAGATCATAAGGCTGCAGAACAAGCGAGGCAGTCAGCGTGTCCCCAGCCTAAAAAACTTAACGTCTGACAACCCACTGTCATGTCACTGCGCCACAATGACTGTGGCCATTGTGGGCTCGGTCGCAGTGTACTGAACATCGCTTGGTCAGTACGACGTACCATCATAAGGCTCCAAGGCTGCGTCTGTTGCAAGCAAGAGATGTGCCTCATTTTCTTTTGGCTATCATTCCCTTCGAATATGTCAACAGAACGCTTCCAGCCATCATGATTCATCACCATGCGTCCTCATCAGGCATGATAAAAAATCACACTGTATCTCCTCCGCGGTGTCAAAACGACGTCATTGCTGCTGCAATTTTATGACATGCATCAAGTTAGTGATTTAGCTAGCTTTTCTGTGGCGAGTTTTGATTTCGCAGCGAATAGTCCATTCCACTCACACATTCCATTCTAGCCTTTAATTCTCAGCCGAGAACACCAAATCCAACATCGGTTTTGCAATATTTTGCAAAGCTGAATTTGATCTTGAATGGCGATCTTGAGAGGCCAGGACTTTTTAATGAACGCTATGTCATGCGCTGGGGCAGGTTCTGATGCTTAAAAAAAAGAAATAGGCTGGTAACAGTTTGGTGATTTGAAGTCTCCCGCTGTTTGAACCTTACCTTGACCTTCAGGATTACCACGACAGGTCAAAACCTTTTGACAGACGCTGGTTTATGGGATGCAGACAATGGTTATGCTCAATCGTTTGTAATCTGATAGTTATTTTGGGGTGATGTGAAGTTCCTCATTAACTGGCCTTGAATTTGATATTTGACATGCGCCTGGCTGGCCGGTTGAATGCTCTTCGCTCGGGAGGGGGTCAATTTGACCCTCTGAGATCTAATGAATCAAGAGAACTAGAGACACCAAAATTACGGGGCGGGTTGACCTGTAAGTAAGGTCATCTAGGGCAAAGTTTGATATTCTTAGGTCATGACCTTGGAGTCAAATAAGTTCAAACAAGGTCGAATTCCAAGCTGGCCTCCAAAGTGCCCCCAGAACCTAGATACATGTCCTAACCAAAAGGTCACATGCTCATTTAAGGTCAGTGACCTTTTTGAACTTTCAAAGGTTATGGTGGCCCAATTCATACAAAACTGCGTTGAGTTTTGCATTGAAATAAGCCACAAAAGTAATGCCAGGCAGCATGTTCCTAAAAACAAAATGTTGACCTGAGTCATTTTATGTCATTGACCTACTGTGACCTTTAAGATGTCCAATGCAAATGTATAATGCGATTTTTGTTATCAACAAGTTCGAAATAAGCACAAGGAATTATCCCATACAGTGTGCCCTAGAGTAATAAAGCAGGTTGGTTTGGACCTTGGTCTGACCTGCATACCTGATTCTAGGTCAACGGGCTTTGTTCATTCAATTGTTATGCTATCTAAAAAAGCATCTAGAACAAGTATGGCTTCGTCTAAAGCTCCGTTGTTGCATCAGACTAAGTTATTCCTCAGAAACTGACTTCGCTGAATGTATGGCCTGACTTTGACCTGCCGTAGGCCAGCGACCTTACATGGTACACCCAAATTTTTAACACCACACGATCTGCCATCCAATCGTCTACAGCTAAACATCACCTAGCGCGGATATGCCGCGCCGTTTGGAGACTTCGGGACAAAACCTTCAAGGAGCCAAATTGACCCTCACCCGAGCGCGTGTTAAAGTCACATGCTATTGCAAAAGAGGCGTAAGACCCAGGGGCCCCGTGCCATAGTTGACGAACTGTAATGTCTTCTGCGGAACTCGTCGCTAAATAATTGCTAACGTCACGTGCGCTCAGGATGTATAGGAAGAGGAGCAAGTCTCAAGGATGCGAATGTGCGGCAAAGAAACTTTAGTGTCTTCAACGTAGTTAGCGGGCGCATTATGATGTAACACCAGGAACTCAATATTGTACCACGGCAGAGACAATGCGATACAACGATGGAACAGATGATGCTTCATACGCTAATAAACTATCATGTCCACGGAGCGTTCCAAGCGTGGCCCCTTCGAGAGCAGAATATCGCTGCACAACGCGGCCACCTCGAAAAGAATGGCAGCTAAATGTGAATCCGGTACGTGCACTGCTTGGTTGGCCTCGCGGTCGAAGTCTTGAAACTTTTCGATCGTGCCTCGTAGGAGGGCGGATCAAAATCGGCTCGACCGCCTCCTGGCGACAGTTCTGAGTCCGACAAGCTTTGAAGCCGCGGGTGACCGAGGCTGACACCTCAGAAACCTCCCGTCAGACCGGCGTCGGCTCCAGAACACAAGCTTCCACTGTAACTGTATTGCGGATGTCGTGCGACAACCTAGCGGAAAAGATACGCCAATCGCAGACAAGACATTTGTGACACACCTGACAGGAGCACATAAATAGACATAGAAAATTGGAGTAATCTGGCCCTCTCGTTCATTGTTCCCCGTTCTCTTTCATCGCTCGAGCAACCGAACATCCTTATTCTATAATCGCACGTTAATTCTACTGACGCTTCCGCTGCAGCGAATACAAACAGCTTTACCAGGAACACGATAACTCACGGACGGGATAAAACCAGCACGTTAAATATCCACCATTTCCACAAGCAACGCCAGCCAGCGAAGTATTTTCGTCACGGCACAGCGCGACGAACTACGACCACGACAAACTCGCGAGGCCGTTCATCAGAGACTTCAGAGACATCAGAGACAGAGACATCACTCGAATGGCCACTGCGACGAGCGCAACACATAGCGGGCGAGACACCACTTAAGAAACAAAATCGTCAAAATGACACGCCCCTCACGCAGCCCCTCACCCGTGGACAAATATCGCGCACCTCAGCGGGCCGGCCTGTCCGGGGGTCCAACCCCGGCCCCAGCAGACGTCCCCACTGACCGACAACAGCTGGCCTTGGACGCTCACGGGCCGGCAGATACAGGACATACACCCCCCCCCCCCCCCCCCCCCCCCCCCCGACCCACGCAGTCTAAACATAATTGTGGTACATCATCCTGAAATAAGCGGTGTTTGCGGGCAGGAGGCCAGTGATACCTCCTTAGACGGTCTATCCGCCCACTGCTGCTGGGTTCGAGCGGAACCGCGGCTCATGTCACCCCCAGCTCGAGCAGGGCGTGCGCTCAGCCCCTTCAACATGGGCACGGACGGGGTGACAGCCTGCATTCAGGGCACCAAGTCAGGGTGCACGGCCGCTGTGACGTCACCGAGGATTCGGCACGCTCCGGTGCATAAAGATACTGCAAATACGCCAACTGTGTGCACCGCAGGCTGTGTGGATCGGAATGTCAATGTACGTACATTGTTATGGATCATATTTATGGCGCAAAGAGCACGCATCTGTTTGAAACATTAGTCCAGTAAAGATTAAATCAGACCGATAGATTGAAACCCCTCCCCCCCCCCATCGAGCGTTGTTCGACGATCCGCCGGCTGTCAAATATTCAATGACGTCACGGCGACCGCGTGGCCGTTGCAGTCCAATTGCCGCTGCCACACCTTTTTTGGGGCAGAACGCAGCCCCTGATTCCGAGAAGCAAATCAAATGCGAATGCTCCAAACCGCTCGGCTTCTATTGGCCGCGCAAAATTTGTATCTCAACACGCCTGTGCACCTCAGGCTTAGTTCAGATCAGGTCAGATCAGATCAGAGCAGAGCAGATCAGAGCAGAGCAGAGCAGAGCAGATCAGAGCAGATCAGAGCAGAGCAGCTCCAGCTCCGACACCAGCTCAGCTCCAGCTTCAGCTCCAGTTCCAGCTGCAGCCCCAGCTAAGCACTAACTCAGCTCCAGCTCCAGCTCCAGCTCCAGCTGCGACACCAGCTCAGCTCCAGCTCAGTGCAGCTCCGACACCAGCTCCGGCCGGCCGTCGCGGCCGACGCTCAGGCGTCGGTGCGCGGCGTCGGTGGGCGGTGTCGGAGGCGGCAGCGGGCCGGCCAGCGGCGGCTCGCGCGCCGGCACCACCCCGGGGATGGTCGGCCCGGGTGGCAGCGCCGGCGCCGCGCTGTATCGCCCCAGCGTGGCGTAGTCCCCTGCGACGGCAAGGCGGCGTAATCACCAGCACGGTCGGTCGCATAACACGTGACAAGAACAACAAACGGAGACGGCTGGTAGGGGAGAGCCCATCAGATCACCACAGACGTGTACAGAGTTCGTCAGACCACTGGCGAATCAACAAAGACGTGGACAGAGTTCGTCAGACTACTGACAGATCAACACAGACGTGGACGGAATCCGTCAGACTACTGACAGATCAACACAGACGTGGACAGAGTCCGTCAGACTACTGACAGATCAACACAGACGTGGACAGAGTCCGTCAGATTACTGACAGATCAACACAGACGTGGACAGAGTCCGTCAGATTACTGACAGATCAACACAGACGTGGACGGAGTCCGTCAGATTACTGACAGATCAACACAGATGAGGACAGGGTACGTCAGACTACTGACAGATCAACACACACGTGGACACGGTCCGTTATACTGAAGCCAATGTGGGCAGTCATGTCAACAAGTCAGACGGATATCAAATAAACATGTCGGACATGAATGGCGTCCGCCAGACAGACGTCAAATAAACGATGAAGGCTTAGACAAAGGCCTACTCAGAAATGAGCACGTACCGGTGTCTCCGCTGGGACTGTGTTCGGCCTCTGCAGACGGCAGTACGTACCGGTGTCTCCGCTGGGACTGTGTTCGGCCTCTGCAGACCGGAGCACGTACCGGTGTTCCCGCTGGGACTGTGTTCGGCCCCTGCAGACCGGAGCACATACATACCAGTGTCTCCGCTGGGACTGTGTTCGGCCTCTGCAGACCGGAGCACATACATACCAGTGTCTCCGCGGGGACTGTGTTCGGCCTCTGCAGATGGCAGTACGTACCGTTGTCTCCGCTGAGACTGTGTTCGGCCTCTGCAGGCCGGAGCACGTACCGGTGTCTCCGCTGGGACTGTGTTCGGCCTCTGCAGGCCGGAACACGTACCGGTGTCTCCGCTGGGACAGTGTTCTGCCTCCGCAGAAGGGAGCACGTACCGGTGTCTCCGCTGGGGCTGTGTTCGACGCCGTCCTGCCTGCTGTCGGGCCGCTGTAGGGTGGCGTACGTATTGCTCTGCAGCTCGTCGGCCAGGGCGCGGTCGTCGGCGCTCGGCCGCGGCTCCGGGTCGCTCACCACCTGCATACTCAGCTCCTGCTCCTCGTACATCTGCACGACGACGCGCACGCCCCCGTCAGTCAGCACGCCTTTGGAAGTCGAATTTGAAACAATCCGCAATCTCCGCTGGAACTGTGTTCAAACAACCAATAATTGCCGTGAAGTACGTGAAGTTCTAACCTTCAAACGACCCATACTTGCCGCGAACAGCCTCAAACGTGAGCCACGGCTTATGACACCTATGTCACAGTCTAAGGCATCACCGGCGGCGGTCCGTGGCACCTGGCCAGTCCATTACAACACCCGTCAAACGCTCCCCTGCCGGGAGCAGCCGGCGGCAGCTGGCCGACGCGGCAGGTCGGGCCCGACGTCGCGCTCGCCCGTGGCGAGCTGGTACTGGCCCGGCCCGTGGCGGTGGCACCCTCACCTTGAGCTTGTTGCCGATCCAGAGCGGATTCTCTGTGCCGGCCGGCCCCTCCGGCTCGGCGGCCTGCCGGGCCGACGCCGGCTGAGGTCGCTTCACCTGCAGGCAGCACACACGGCACGGGTCAGGCACGGGTCACGGCACAGGTCACGGGTCACGGCACGGGTCACGGGTCACGGAACGGGTCACGGCACGGGTCACGCCTATTGGTCATCGCCGAATGACACAAACCAGGCGGGCTCAGGGAGCCCGGGGCTCGAGACGGCGGCGGCTGGCTGGCATATGGACGCAGCCTCGCTCGCCGTCGCTTTGAATCGTTTCGAACGCACGGCTTTACTGATAACTACTGTGGCCGTAAGTGCCCGAATGTATCACGCAGGCACAGGCGGTGAAAGGCAAACATGGCCCGTGGCTCGACTTAAAACCGCGGTTTTGCGCGTCGAGCGCTATGGCACAGCGTCCTGACAACCCTCGCTTCTCGCACGCTTCAGTCGCACCCACGACAACGCTCGCATACAAACACGACTGACACACACGACAAACACAACGACAATCCTTCGACACAACCACGACTGGTGTAGAGACCACTTTCATCCACTTACATCGACAGCTACTTCATTGCGCCGACTTGTTCAATAATAAAACATGTGGAGCACAGGTTGGATCCAATGCATCCAAGCAGTTGCCAGTCTGCACCGGTGGGGGGCGGGGGAGGGGAGGTGGCGGTGTGCAGCGGCGGGCGACGGAGGCCAGTGAGCAGGGGAGGGGGAGGGATGCAGCGGCGGGAAACAGTGGCCAGTGAGCGAGGGATGGGGACGGTGTGCAGCGGCGAGCGACAGTGGCCAGGGAGCGGGGGAGGGGAGGGATGCAGCGGCGGGAAACAGTGGCCAGTGAGCGAGGGATGGGGACGGTGTGCAGCGGCGAGCGACAGTGGCCAGGGAGCGGGGGTGCGAAGGAGGGGGGGGGGGGTGCAGCGGCGGGCGACAACGTGCCCATTGAGCGGGCCCCGGGCCGCAGACCTGCTCCATGTCCACCGGTATGGTGGCCGGCACGTTCTTGAGGCAGCAGCAAACGGCGCACATGGTCACCAGGCCGATCACCAGCACCAGCAGCAGCGCCACCAGCGTCACCAGCGTCTGACTCGTCTCTTGCACCACCGGACGCGCGTCCGCCGCCTGCCGCACCAACACCACATGACGTCACTACACAACCTGAACCGCACCACAAGTGCACAAGGCGGCTCCATACTTGGGGCCCGAGCCAACTTTGAGGACCCATCAAGCCACTGAAAGAGATCGTTGATCGTATCATTTCCCGGACACAGAAAACCCGACAGCAAATATAGCTCGTGACTAAACGTTGAACGCTAATCAAAGCTCCGATAAGTGACAAGTGAGCGGTATGAATCCAGGCAAATCTCGAGCGAACCTGTCCCTTCCACACCCCGCCGATCCAACAGGCAGTTTGCCACTCTGGCGCCACACCACACTCGCAACGCTGGTCACGTCCACGCAGTCCACACGGTCACGCTGGTCGCGGTCCACGGGGGACCGCCCCTGACTGTGTCTGGTCTCGACGGACCTTTGCCCCTTCCCCATCACCCAGCAGACCCACCGTGACACCCAGTTATGGTCCTCTGACGGACCGGTGCCTCTCCCATCCCCCGCAGACCCCCGTGGACCCACGTCTGGTCCATCTGTGGACCTGTGCCGCTTCTCATCCCACAGCAGAACCCCCGCCGTGACACCCCGTTGGTCCTATGATGGACCGTGCCTCTTCCAATCCCACAGCAGACACCCCGTGGCACCCCCGTCCTGGTCCTCTGACGGATGTGCAACCCCTCTCCCGGCGCATGGCAGACCCCTGACACCCCATCCGACCCCCTGACGACTGACAGCACCCCCTCCCCCCGACCCCAGTCCACTGCTGACCTGGACCTTCTGCAGACGTAGCTGGGCGTGCTGCCGCTGCAGGTAGTCATAGTGCTGGTCGAACGCCCGCAGCACGTCGGCCGTCGGCACTATCTGCTGCTCGGCATCCGCCACGTGCATGTACATGTCCGACCTGGCGGCGGCCGCACCGACGCGTCAGCCGCTGGCGGCCAGAAAGCGACGGGGCGGCGGCAGCGGCGCATGCTGACAGAACACGCGACGATGGGCGCCACGGCACCTGATGGGCGCTGACAACATTGCTACTTTTGGAGATGGGAGTAGTATGCCAAACAAATACATTGAATACAGGTTTGCAAAGGTGAATATTTTGGTATTGAATGCATTGCAATGTGACCCAGCGAAAAGCTGCCATTCCACACATGTTAATATCGCTGTGTTCATGATACGTTCGTGTGACGTGTGTTCAGATCATGCCATCAATTCAACCATCGGTGCAACAAACAAGGCGGAACCGTCTAGCACAAGCATCATCCAGCGCATTTTAAATGGCAGCCGACTTTGCAAACCAGTGTTCTTTACCTTTCCAAAACAGCTCCCGACGCCAAATAACACACGACTGCGGCTGCTGCAGGCCTGGGCACTGTCTACACCTCAGCAGCCCCGTGAGAGGGGTGGAAACAAGGCCCCCTGGCGGCCAATAACGCAGGCGTCCCACCGAGCGCACGCTCCACGGCCAGAGGCGGGCACCCACCACGTCCGCTTGACCACGTTCTCCTCGGTCACGTGGTATCTGACGTCATCGATGACGACGCGGCCGCCGGTGGCGTTGCTGAAGGCCTTGACGATGCGGTCCGGCTGGCGAACGATGGCGTCGGGCGGCACGCCGAGCGTCACGTGCACCAGCTGCGAGGCGTCGTACACCCATACCTGGCCGCGGCGGCAGGGGGAGCGTTACAGCACTGGACGACGTCGAGCAGCCCCGGCCGCTCCGGCAGGCACAGTGCCAGGAGTGTGGAACTCTACTGCTCAGGGACGTATGATCACAACAGAATGCACATTTGACTTGTCCCGAATATCGCACATCAGCAACGTCGCCTTCGACGACTGGTGCGCAACACTCCGGGAACAAGTCTCACAGAACAGTGGCGCCCGCCGAAGACCTCGAGACAGACCAGGGGAACATCGTTACCACGCTGACTCGAACGACGCACGCCGGCCGCCATCAGCAAACGATCAACCGCTGCCCGAACCGACCGAGGGCCGGCTGGCAGCCTCCAACGGAGAGACACCACTTCCAGCAACGACACCCTGATGAAGCGGAAAACCCTTCGACTAACGTGGACCGTAACAAAGGCCCTTACCACACCGTCTCTCGGGCGGACGACGACGCCATCTCCCACGGCGGTGACTCGCGTGAACTGTAACAGAGGCCTTCACCACACCGTCGGTGACGCCGCCCCCCGCGGCGGTGACTCACGTGGACCGTAACAAAGGCCCTCACCACACCGTCGGTGACGCCGCCCCCCGCGGCGGTGACTCACGTGAACGCGAGCGAGGGCCTCACGACGCGGGGCGTAGCGCTCCCGCGCGGCCAGCTGCACCAGGAACCGGTGGTGTTTGTACTCGCCCATCAGGGTGGCGCAGGTCAGCCGGCCGCCCGAGTCGATACTGAACGGAGAGGGCACGATGGCGCCGCTGGCCACCGCCGAGCCTGTGTGAAGGGCGCGCTGTCAGATGAAATACTGAACGGAGAGGGCACGATGGCGCCGCTGACCATCGCCGAGCCTGTGTGAAGGGCGCGCTGTCAGATGAGATAGTGAACAGAGAGGGCACGATGGCGCCGGAACGGAGAGGGCACGATGGCGCCGCTGGCCACCGCCGAGCCTGTGTGAAGGGCACGCTGTCAGATGAGATACTGAACGGAGAGGGCACGATGGCGCCGCTGGCCACCGCCGAGCCTGCGTGAAGGGCGCGCTGTCAGATGAAATACTGAACGGAGAGGGCACGATGGCGCCGCTGACCATCGCCGAGCCTGTGTGACCAGCACGCTGTTAGGTGAGATACCGAACACCGTCGCATACAACACGGACGGGGAAGCGACACACTGTCTTTTTCTAGACAGTTCTTTTCAGCTGCTGCGAGAGCGAGTTTTTGAAACGGTTCTTTAGCCCAGCATGAGCTGTGCTTGCCAGGCTCTGGGGCACCGAAACTGAAGACAACTGCCGCCCTGCTGTCAGCTGAGCGCGCGTCCGGCGGCGCCACTGACCCGGCTTGTAGAGCTGGGTGGACCTGATGGTGTAGACCAGCTCCCCGTTCTGGCCCTGGTCCGGGTCGAACGCAGCCACCGTCGTCACCGGGTCACGGAACTGGGCCAGCTCGGACACACCTGCCGTCGCCGGCGGACCGTCACACAGCTGAGGCGTACGCGTCGTCGCGGAGCTGCCGCCCACACAGTGGCCCCGCCAGCTGCCCGTATGTAGCCACAGAGCTGACGCGCGCATCGATGCACCACGCAATGTATCACGCATGATGAGACGGTCAGGTGCAAAGTGCTGCGAAATATCCTGCTGCAAGAAGACAGGACGAGCGTCGCGTCCATTCTTCTATCCATGATGCATGCAGGCATGCACGCATGATGAGACGGTCATGTGCGAAATGCTACGAAATATCCTGCTGCGAGAAGACAGCATGAGCGTCGCGTACATTATTTTACCCATCTTTCTATAACTGTAGTCCAATTCGCAGCATTTCCGCAAAACCACCAGATTCAAGAAGCTTCAGCACAAAGGCAGCTCTCACCAGCAAAGTACTCCTTGGCCTCGAAGGCTGGCGGCGAGTCGTTGAGGTCGAGCACGGTGATCTTGACCACGGTCAAGGTCGGGTCAAGGTCGTCCGCCGTCACGTTCTCCGCGTAAAATGAGGCGTTGCTCGTGGCTGAGGGTGGGGAGAAACATGCTGGCTGACACACTGCAACTGGCCAACTGTTATAAAAACCACAGTCCAATGAAAACTAGCATACGGGCCTTAAGACCGCATACAGTATCAGCATGGAACAGTATGGAAAGCAACTGAGCACCGCGTAACATAAACATCACGCAGGCCCGCGTATCACAAGCTAACCAAGTGACGACCCATGAACCAAACACGACACTCACGCTCCTGCACCAGGCGCAACTCCACCGCGCGCTCGACACCTGACGCTGTCGGCACCCCGCGCGGCCGGCGCGGGCCCTGGCGCCCACCTTTCACGATGATCTCGTACTGGTCGCGCTGCTCGCGGTCCAGCGAACGCGTGACGGCGATGTCGCCGCGCTGGCTGACCGAGAAGGCGGCCGCGTCGCCGCCCACCAGGAAGTAGAAGGTGCGACCCGTCTCGGCCGAGTCGGGGTCCTCGGCCCGCACCGAGCCTGCCGCGCCGCCACCGTCTCCGCCGTCACACACACGGCAGTGCAGACCGTCGCGAATCCCGCGCCGGCGAGGTTACCCGGCGGCGGTGATCGCAGGCGGGGAGGAACACACGACAGCGCCGATCTCAGCGATAACAATGCTAGGCTGCCGGACACCCCGAATGCCGGTAGTTGGCACCATTACGAACCAGTACACGAGCCACGCGAGGGGGAGCGAAGCCAAAAAAAGTCTAGCACGCCATCTGACATCAGTCGTCGAAAGCTGACAACACAGCACAACAGACGCGAAATGCAACTTTTCACACCGGCTACATCGTCCAACAAATCGAGCGATCCGACGCTTCTACGTCCGCGTACACAGTGGCGTTCGGCGTCTGCCGGAGCCAGCGCCGGCAGCGGCAATACAGCCCCGGAGAGCCGCCGCCGCTCACGTTCGGCCCGACTCACCGACGGCCGTGCCCGGTCGCGAGTTCTCCATCAGGCTGAAGCGGTGCACGTGCTCGCGGAACTGTGGCACGTGGTCGTCCACGTCCAGCACGTGGATCTGCACGGAGCGCGCCGACTCGTGCGGGATGGGCGAGCCGTGGTCCCGGGCCACCAGCACCAGCTGGGGACGGAAGGGGCGTCGGAGGATGAAGACAAAACACCAAGTGAATACCAGGCACCAGCTGGCGGCTTGGTGAGCAGATACCAGGCACCAGCTGGTGATCGGTTGGGGAGATGCCAGGCACCAGTTGCTGATCGGTTGGGGAGATGCCAGGCACCAGCTGGAGATCGGCTGGGGAGATACCAGGCACGAGATGGTGATTTGTTAGGGAAATGCCAGGCACCAGCTGGTGATCGGTTGGGGAGATACCAGGCACCAGCTGGTGATCGGTTGGGGAGATAACAGCCACCACCTGGTGATCGGTTGGGGAGATGCCCGGCACCAGCCGGCGATCGGTTGGGGAGACACCAGGCACCACCTGGTGATCCGCTGGGGAAGATGCCAGGCACCAGCCGGCGATCGGTTGGGGAGATGCCAGGCACCAGCTGGTGATCGGTTGAGGGACATGCCAGGCACCAGTTGGTGATTTGTTGGGGAGATACCAGGCACCGGCTGGTGATCGGTTGGGGAGATACCGGGCACCAGCTGGTGATGGGTTGGGGAGATACCAGGCACCAGCTGGTGATCGGTTGGGGAGGTGCCCGGCATCAGTTGGTGATCGGTTGGGGACATACCAAGCAATGGCGTGTTAGTCGCCTGAGACACCGCTCACACAACATCGGACACATGCGGGAACAAACACACAAACACGACCGTTTCGAGTACCCTGTGCCAACGTCATCAGTACCAACACATCAACAGCCAGTTCACGCCCAAAACGACTCCGTTGCTGAAGAATTCGCATGTTGGGAACGTCGGCACCAATACCAATCACCGTGCTACTCCTACCCCTCCCCTACACACTTTCACCTACGCCGGTCATTCTTCGAACTTGGTCAAAGTACAACAGAAGAAATCGCGCCAGCGAGCACAGTCCGGCTGCGGGAAAAATGTGCGGCTGGTTTTGAACGGTTGAAGGAAGGGAGACGGCGGTACCGCTCTCTGCCACGACAGGGCGCCATTGGCTCACCGTGTACTTGTCGCGGGACTCGCGGTCAAATCGGACCCGCGTGCGGACCTCGCCCGTCTCCGAGTCAATGGCGAACTCGTCCGTCTCCGAGCCGTCCGTCTCGCCCACCCTGCAACACACACTCGTCAGTCACGCAGGACCTCCCGTTACTCGCTGAGCTCCGCAGCATGGTGGCCCAACGCGACACTCTAAAGCCAGACACAAATGCCTCAACCGAGACGAATTTCACGGCCTAATGCCGCCACAGCGCCCGCCATTACGACCACAATGGCATCCATGACTGATGTCCATTGATGCCAAGAACTGTTTGAGCCAGACAGCGCACGACAGCAGCCTGCCGGCCGACGCCGCCTGTCTGCCGCGTTTCGCGTGCGGTCTCCGCCCCCCCCCCCCCCCCTCCCACCCGGGCTGGCGAGACTGGCACACCGTCACCGGCCGCGGGTCGGCGTCAGGGTATCCGCCCCACCTGAAGTAGTAGGAGAGCCGGCCGTTGTCGCCCTGGTCCCGGTCCGACGCCTCAGCCGTCAGCACCAGACTGCCCGCCTCCTGCACGTTCTGGCGACGGCACGGTCACAGCCAGGTCAGAACAGGTCACACCGGGTCACAAAAGGTCACGGCCGGGTCAGAACACGTCACACCAGGTCAGAACAGGTCACGGACGGGTCAGAACGCGTCAAGGTCGGGTAAGAACACGTCACCGTTAGGTCAGAACAAGTCACGGCCATGTCAGACCGGGTCACAGCAGGGTCAGACCAGGTCATAGCCGGGTCAGACCAGGTCACAGCCAAGTCAGAGCAGGTCAAGGCCGTGTAGACCAGGTCGTTGCCGGGTCAGAACAGGTCAAGGCCAGGTCATATCATGAGCAGCGGATCACACACCAGCCCAGCTTGTCCGTATCAACGCTGATGAGCCTCACTGCCAGCATGCCACACCGCGCCAAAGAACTAATGAATCGTAAGTCCCGCGTCAAACACACCCCCAAACTGACACCGTTTTTCCCCAAAGATCAGCTCCCTTAAGTAACATCCTCGCGTCACAATTTCAGTACGCGCGCCGGCACACTCTTCCAAGGCACTAACCCGACCGAAGCGGGCGTCAACACGGATAACGTCACTAAGGGACACACCAGCATGCGTCACAAGCATACATACAGATAGCATGCATAGTCCGAAGGGGTCCAGGATCATTGGACAGTTTCTTCCTTTTTCATTTTACATTGTCCGCACATGAAACACCCCGAAACCGATCAGCACCGCGACTCCTAAGGAGTACAAGAAGTACAAGGCTAACAACGGCTTCACCAAGCCGCACACACAGCTGTGTGGTCGGCCTGAGCGGACCAGCTCCAGCTCCGGCTGCGAGACAGCCCCCGCGGGCGGCGCGCCTGCCTGCCGAGCCGGCCCGGCTGAGGGGCCGCACCCACCTCCTCCACGTAGTAGATCTTGTTGTCGGTGGCCGGCTTGATGAAGCGCGGCTTGTCGTGGTTAGCCGCCTGCACGCCCACCTTCACCGTCGCCGTGTCGTTGAACTTGCCGTCCGTGGCCAGCACCGTCAACACGACCTCTGCGGCGGCGGAGACGGCACTGAGGTCAGCGCGGAGGAGCGGGACGCAGCCGGAGCGAGCGAAGCGGCGGGAACGGCGTCGAGGCAGAGAGGGCGCTGAGGTCAGCACAGGGGGGTGGGGGGGGGGGGGGGGGGGGGAACGCAGCCGGAGCGAGTGAGGCGGCGGAGACGGCGCTAAGCAACGGACGGTGCGGCCTGCGGAAGTCGTCCCGCGCCAAGTTGTCCCTCGCACGGGAGGCAGGCGGGACGAGCGCCAATTAAGATGAGCTGCTTAAAACGCACCGCCCAACGTGGGGCTCGAGCCCACGACCCTGGGATTAAGAGTCCTGACCTGGGATTAAGATATTAAGTTATATATATATATATATATATATATATATATATATATATATATATATATATATATATACAAAACAAGCGAAGGCGAGCACAGTCTTTGACTAGCACAACTCAACCAACAAAAAATACAACAACATGACGATTCAATGCTGCACGGAAAAAAACGAAATCTAGTGACGATCATGGCACACGATGTGAGCAGCACCACGTGATCACGCGTGCAGCAGTTCGCGATGTGATCATGCGTGCAGCAGTTCACGGTGCGATCACGTGTGCAGCAGTTCACGACGTGATCACGTGTGCAGCAGTTAATGATGGGATCATGTGTGCAGCAATTCACGACGTGATCATGCATGCAACAGTTCACGATATGATCATGCATGCAGGAGTTCACGACGTGATCATGCATGCAGCAGTTTACGACGAGATCACGTATGCAGCAGTTCACGACGAGATCACGTGTGCAGCAGTTAATGATGGGATCATGTGTGCAGCAGTTCACGACGTGATCGCGTGTGCAGCAGTTCACAATGGGATCACGTGTGCAGCAGTTCACGACATGATCACACGTGCAGCAGTTAACGTGATCATGCGTGCAGCAGTTCACGTGATCACGTGTGCAACAGCTCACGTGATCACGCGTGCAGCAGCTCACGATGTGATCACGCGTGCAGCAGTTCACGTGATCACGTGTGCAGCAGTTCACGACGTGATCACGCATGCAGCAAGAGTATCCCTGCTGGCATGTGCCTATCCGTGATAACAGGGCGATAAAAGCGAAGGCGTCAATGTGCCGTCAAACATACCCCGAGCGGTCGTGTCGGCTCGGGGTTCGCATGAAACGTGGATAGAACAACAAGCCACGACCAGCGAGAAGAACCCACGGCGTCGCCGCGGCTGAGAGAGCGCGGAGGCTTGGCTTTTCACAGGGGGTCAAAGAGCACACGAAAAATCAAGAAAGGGAAGACAGGCAGGGGGAAGACAAAACGCAGGACACGCCGTTTAACCGTACGCAGCAACGGACAGCGCGGCTGCGGCGGTGGTCTCGCGCAATGTCACCTCGAGCAGGAGGCAAGCGGGAAGAGCGCCAATTGAAATTAGCTACTCAAAACGCACCGCCCAACGTGGGGCTCGAACCCACGACCCTGGGATTAAGAGTCCCATGCTCTACCGACTGAGCTAGCCGGGCATACCGCAATCCCAGACATGAGCAGAAAACAAGCGGGGGCGAGCCCAGCCCTTGGCTTACACAGCTCATCCAAGCTCAACCAACGAAAAACATGCCGATTCAATACTGCACAGAAAACTGAGGTCCGCACGGAAGAGTGGAACACGGCCGGAGCGAGCGAGACGGCTGGGACGACAATGAGGTCAGCACAGAGGAGCGCAACACGGCCGGAGCGAGCGAAGCGGTTGGGACGACGCTGAGGTCAGCACAGAGGAGCGCAACACAGCCGGAGCGACCTAGACGGTTGAGACGACACTGATGTCAGCACAGACGAGCGAAACACGGCCAGAACGAGCGAAGCGGCTGGGACGACAATGAGATCAGCACAGAGGAGCGCAACACGGCCGGAGCGAGCGAAGCGGCTGGGACGACACTGTGGTCAGCACAGAGGAGCGGAACACAGCCGGAGGGAGCGAAGCGGGTGGGACGACACTGAGGTCAGCACAGAGAAGTGGAACACGGCAGGAGCGAGCAAAGCGGCTGGGACGACACTGACGTCAGCACAGAGGAGCGGAACACGGCCGGAGCGAGCGAGACAGCGCCACCAGTCCCCACTATTCGGCCCGCTCACGTGAGGCACTGAAGGCTGCTGAAGCATCATGATGCTGAGCCCCATGCCACGCGGCCTGCCCGTCATGATAGCGTAATTGCTTAACAATAAATACACCAATGGCCGGAGCCAATAAATACGCCAGAGGTACAAAGTCGTGCATGCCAGCAAAATGACGCCGAGAAGGCCGTCCTCACGAGTTCGAACACAAGCCAAGCGCATCCGAACACATTAACACCAAGAGGACCGTGACTGAGCAGACACGGCCGCCGGCTGGCCAGCCCTGGCGCCCAGGGCCGGGGCCGGGGCGGGCCCCACCGGCCGGTCGGCAGTCCACGCACCGCTCTGGTCGGCCGTGACCCGCTGGGCCGGGTACAGGAAGCCGGAGTCGGGGTCGAGCCGGAACCAGGCGGCGGCCGGCTCCGGTCCCAGCGAGTACCGCACGGCGGCGTTCTCACCAGCGTCCGCGTCCGACGCCAGCACCTGGGCGGGCAGGCACACAGCTGTCAGACGTACAGGACAGGGCAGGCACACAGGCGTAAGACGTACAGGACAGGGCAGGCACACAGCCGTCAGACGTGCAGGACAGGGCAGGCATACAGGCATAAGACGTACAGAGCAGGACAAGCACAGCCGTCAGACGTACAGGACAGGGCAGGCACAACACGGTCGTCAGACGTACGGGACAGGACCGGCACAAGGGCATGAGCCGCAACGACAGGGAATAGACAAAGCCATCCGACGTACAGGACAGGACGGGCACACAGCCGTCAGACGTCCGGGACAAGGCAGGCACACAGCCGTCAGACGTACAGGACAGTGTGGACGATGCGGGTAAATGCACGGCTCCTGGCCGACGGCAATCAGTGGTGCATGACATAAGGCAGCCACAAGCGTTACCGGCGTGTGAAAAATACCACGTGACAAGCGCACAACACCATGAAAATAAACAGCGATGATGCGAACGCTACAGGAAACACGGCAGAAACGCGGGAGCCCCGGCGTCTCCTGACCGGCGCGACGAACCGTGCAGCTGACGCGGGCGCCTGCCCGCCTCACCTGCAGTATGGGGCTGGGCGGCGACAGCGGGATGTCCTCCACGATACTGGCCGAGTAGACGGCTCGGCTGAAGACGGGAGGGTGGTCGTTGATGTCCTCCACAGTGATGTTCACCTGAGGGTGGGTCTGGGTCAGCACCTCGGCCGGGCCAGGCTCACGCTAACATACAGACTGCCACCATCTGAAGACGGGAGGGTGGTCGTTGATGTCCTCCACAGTGATGTTCACCTGAGGGTGGGTCAGGGTCAGCACCTCGGCCGGGCCGGGACACTGGGGACTGTCCCCAGTGCCCAGTGTGCTGAGCCGGTCGGAGGACGCCGCCGCCGCGTGGCGGGCTCGGTGTGCGCGGCTCACTCACCAGAGTGGAGGCGCTGCGTCGGCCCTGGTCGGGCCCCATGTCGAAGGCCGCCACAGTCAACAGGATCTGCGACCGCTCCTCCCGATCTAGCGAAGCCGACGCCAGCCGAACTACGCCCACGGAGTCCACTGTGAACTCCTCCGCAAGGGGGCCTGTACCGGGCACAGGGGTACGTCACAGCGAGACCACGCCCACAGAGTCCACCGAGAACTCCTCCGCCAGGGGGCCTGTACCGGGCACAGGGGTACGTCACAGCGAGACCACGCCCACAGAGTCCACCGAGAACTCCTCCGCCAGGGGGCCTGTACCGGGCACAGGGGTACGTCACAGCGAGGCCACGCCCACAGAGTCCACCGAGAACTCCTCCGCCAGGGAGCCTGTACCGGACACAGGGGTACGTCACAGCGAGGCCACGCCCACAGAGTCCACCGAGAACTCCTCCGCCAGGGGGCCTGTACTGGACGCGGGGGCACGTCACAGCGAAAACAAGCTCCGGCGGTTGCCCCTGCCGTCTGTCACACCCCTGCCGTCCGTCACGCCCCCGCTGTCTGTCACGTCCCTGCCCTCTGTCACAGGAAACGTCACACCTATTGACATCATATACCATCTGTTAGTCAATGTTAGTCACATGTGACGACATAACGACTGCTCCAACATGTGTCTTTTCGTGAAACTCTCCCAACGTGACTTTCATCACATAAAACAGCACAACCAACCAACCCAAAAGTTATGTGGGCATGTAGCATGCCGAGCTGTTTATCACACATTTTCGTCACGCTACGTCGTCGAACCTTACAACAGCTGGGCTTAGCACAACGGGGGGGGGGGGGGGCAAGGGGGACAAAACCAAGGGCAAGGGGGCAAGAGCACATGAGGCATCGGAAGGAAGGAGAGAGATGAGGGAGACCTAACGCAAACCACCCCAAATCAAACACAACGGCTGCGGCTGTGGGAGACGTCCCGCGCAGGGCCGCCTCGAACGGGAGGTGCGCCGGAAGAGTGCCATTGAGATTAGCTGTTCAAAACGCGCCGCCCAACGTGGGGCTCGAACCCACGACCCTGGGATTAAGAGTCCCATGCTCTACCGACTGAGCTAGCCGGGCGTCGCTACCGTCCGGACATGGCCAGAAAACAGGCAGGGGGTGAGCAGTCTCCGACAAGCACAACAAAACATCTGCCAACCAATGCAGCACATAAATCACGTCTTCTGACGACCACGATCAGTGAGGCGAACCTCAGGTCTCGCCTTGGCTAAGAGAGCAAAAGCACAGAAGCAGAAGAGGAGGAGAGGAGGAGGTAGGAGA